TGGTATCTTGGAATAAAATGTCAATTTTGCATAAGACAGAGAGGAAAGATGATACTTGTGGTTAACTGGCAGAAGTTTGCTGTGCTGACCAAATTCATAAGGTTGTCTGCAAGACCCTAGAACATTTGGTGGGATAGAAGCACAACTGCCATAAAGAAAGAACATGAACTATTGCCATCTAAAGACCCAGAAGCAATAACTACATGTACATCAGTTGGTGCGTGCTTTTATTTATCAGGTATTTCATGATGAACAAAAACTTCTCCACAATCAAGATGAGGCTGCTTCTCCACTTCTTTGCACAGTACACACTAGAGTTTTGCTTGCCTCTGATTGTGGTCTCAGGCACCCAAGTCCCTCTGTTTGTGGAATGAAGGCATATTTGGCTTTCCTAGTCAATGGCTTATATCAATTCAGTATTTCCAGAGATGTTCATGATCTTGGTTTACTTTCTTCTGTATCCTTACCCTTTTTTGACATTTCCTTCTCTCTCTTGACTTGGGTTATTAATCTCTTTCTTTTAATATTTGTTTATGTGAAAGTCAGAGCTACACAGAGAGAAGGAGAGACAGAGAGAGGCCTCCCATCCGCTGATTCACTCCCCAGTTGACTGCAATGGCCGGAGCTGTGACAATCTGAGGCCAGGAGCCAGGAAATTCCTCCAGGTCTTCCCACTCGGGGAGAAGGGACTCAAAGACTTGGGCCATCTTCTATTGCTTTCCCAGGCCATAGCAGAGAGCTGGATCGGAAGTGGAACTGCCGGAACTCAAGCCGGAGCCCATTTGGGATGCAGCACTGCAGGCGGCGGCTTTATTCACTACACCACAGCGCCAGCCCCTATCAATCTCTTTCATCTCAAACCACAGCCTTAAGATTAGGCCATCAGTATGTGTGGCAAAGTGAATGAAGTTCTCACTGCAGAGTACAATAGGACGAACAGAAAGCATTCCTCATATCTCAAAGATCCTGAAATTATTTCAGTGATGAAGTCATCAAATCCCGCTTCAGTTGGCCTCAATAACTACAATACTAAAATCAAGAAACCCCTTAATTTACTTATCCCTCGTTCTAGGAATTCACCTTACAGAGACTATATTAAGCAGAATATACCAGGTATTTGCAACTGATAACATTACAAACCTTGAACAGATCTGGGAAACCGAGAGTTCCATACTCTGATCTAGAGATGGATAGATTAGGCTCCAAATCCTGGCTCTACTATTTTTCAATGTGTGGAATTGAGCAAGTCTTTTACACTCTTGGCACGTTCTTGGTAAAATAGTGATAAAAATATCTTCCTCTCTGGAAAAGTTAAGGATTCAGGAGAGATGGAATTTAGGATAAAAGCCGAGGTTTGACAGCAATATTGGTCTTGATTCAAATCTGAGTTCCAACATTTACCAACTGTTATCACTTGATGTGTTCTATGCCTCTTTCATTATCTATTAAATCAGAATGCTAATAATAACCAAGTCATTGAACAGCTTTGGATATTAATTTAGTTAGTATTGACACAGTGTTTAGAAAGTGTCTGGCTGTGGTAAATGCTCAATAAATGGAGGTCATTATGAACTATATAATTGTAATATAGTATTCTGTTACACTCCTTAATAATCAAGGTAATGAGGTGAATACTAACAGTAATCTTGGCAGGCTTGTTCTGGAGGCAATTATCACCAACTGTTGATTAAATGGGGGTCTAAGCCCAAATTGAGGCACACAGTATCCCTGAATTGGCCATAGGACCGTGCAGAACCTGCTCAGTCATTTTCTAATGGTACTGGGAACTTAGCTAATGCAGTCTTCTACTCAGGTCCCAACTCCATATGAAGAGTTCAAAGCCAAGTAGCTGGTAAAGAGAATTGCTCTGATGGCATGGTCAACATGGGCTCTGCCTTCCCCTAAGGATGAAGAGGGGGTGTTCTGCTCCCATCAATGATTGGCATGTGGGGGTAAATAACCAAAAGATAAGCCTTCCTGCCCCAGTATGAAGTCCGTGAGTGAGAGGATCAAGAACCCTTTAGAATTAAGAAAGGGAATGTAAAATACATTAAGTTATATTATATATATTAAGTTGAAAGCACTGTGGGGAATACCAGTATAAAACAGGCCCCCGTTTCTCTAGTGGGGTAATGAAAGTAAAATATGTTCACAAATACAGCATCTCTAATGGAAAGCAGGAAGTAGTAAATGTCAAACAAATCCACAGATGTGGTGCAATTAAAGTACTGAGGCCATAAAGAGGTTTTCCTGTACAAGGGACCAGAAGAGGCCGTGCAGAGGAAGTGGCATTTCTGAATAACTTCTAGGCTCAGTTAGGGTCTTTTATGCCAATCACTAATCCTGTCCTCACTCCTGCAGGGACAGGGGTGGTTAACTTCCTTCTTCTGCTTGGCAAGACACTTGTCTTGCAAGACCCACCTCAAGGGTCAGTCTTCTGATGCCCCCTTCTCCAGATGGATTCACCCTTGCTCCCTTATTTGGGAATAAGTTTTGCCATCTCCCATCCACTGACATTGCATTTATTTATTTTTCACAGATTATTTATTTGAAAGAGTTGCAGAGAAGGAAAGGGAGAGAGGAAAAGAAGGAGGGGGGGAGAGAGAGAGAGAGAGAGAGAGAGAGAGAGAGAGAGAGAGAGAGAGAGATCTTCCATCAAAGGTTTACTCCCCAGGTGGCCTCAATGGGCCAGGCTGAAGCCAGGAGCCAGGAGGTTCATCCAGGTATCCTGTGTGGGTGGCAAGGCCCCAGTACTTGGATCATCTTCTGCTGCTTTTCCCAGCATCATTAGCAAGGAATCGGATTGGAAGTGCAGCAAACCAGGGCCTTTATGGAATGCTGATGCCTAGGGCAAAGCTTTACCTATTATGCCACAATGCCAGCCCCTTCTGCTGCTATTTTTAATTCATTACCATATTATATTCACTGTCTAATTCATTAGACTGTGGTCTCCATAGGACACACGCAATGCTTTGAGTCCTCAGTGCCTTGGGACTCAAAGCTGTGTGGAGTTTTCTTTTTGGTATTGAGCAACTTAGATAAAGTGATAATGCTGACGACCAGATCAAACTGCTGCTAAGGTGTGTTGGTTTATGCCCTCAAGAATCTGACCTGGTGAGGCCGGCACTGTGGCGTAGTGGATAAGGCCACTGCCTGCAGTGTCGGCATCCCATATGGGCACCAGTTCTAGTCCCTGCTGCTCCACTTCTGATCCAACTCTCTGGTATGGCCTGGGAAAGCAGTGGAAAATGGCCCAAGTCCTTGGGCCCCTGCACCCACATTGGAGACCCCAGAGGAAGCTCCTGGCTCCTGGCTTCAAATCGATGCAACTCTGACTGATGCAGCCATATGGGGAGTTAACCAGCAGATGGAAGACACCCCTCTCTCTCTTTGCCTCTCCTTCTCTCTCCGTGTAATTCTGACTTATAAATAAATAAATAAATAAATCTTAAAAAAAAAAAATATGACCTGGCTTCAGTTGCTGGACCTGAGGTCTCGTTTTTATTTCAATATTTCCATCTGATGGGAAATAAGTGACAATAAAAATTATGAATAAAATGATTCTTTATCAAAAAATCACAGATTAACACGATTTGCACTAAACATTAAATATCATTTTTACTTTTAAAAACCTATAAATTTCCCCAACATTCAATGAATGAGGTTGAATAAATTCTGGTAACCTATATGATAAAGTATTCTATATTCATTAAAGGGTGCAGGCATTACAGCATAGCAGGTTAAGCCACTGTTTGGCGTGCCTGCACCCCGTATTGGAGTGCACAGTGAAGTCCCAGCTCCTTTGCTTCTGATCCAGCTTCTGCTTCTTATTTGGTTATTTTTTAAAATGTACTTATTTATTTATTTGAAAGGCAGAATTACAGAGAGACAGGGAAAGGCAGAGAGAAAGAGCAAGCAAAAGAATAGATGATCTATCCATTGATTCACTCACCAAATGACTGCAACAGCCAGGGCTGAACCAGGCTCTAGCTAGGAGCCAAGAGCTTCATCTGGGGCTCCCACTTTGATGCAGGAGCACATGTACTTGGGCCATCTTCTGCTGATTTCCCAGGTTCATTAGCAGGGAGCTGGATCAGCAGTGGAGCAGCCAAAAATCTAACTGGCAACCATATGGGATGCTGGCACTGCAGGCAGAGGCTTAACCCAGTGCACTATAGCCTCGGCCCCCAGCTTCATGCTAACGTGTCCTGGGAGGCAGCAAACGATGGCTCATGTGCTTGAGCCCTGATAATAACACAGGAAATGCAGATGGAGTCCCAGGCTACTGGTTTTAGCCTGGCACAGACACAGCTGTTGTGAGCATTTGAGGAGTGAACCAGCAGATAAAAAAATTCTCTCATTCTCTTGCTCTCTCCCTCTCTCCTCTGTGTCTCTCGGCTGCTTCCTTTCTAAAAGGTAAAATAAACAAATGAATATTTAAAAAGTTTCCAAAGTGTATATGGATTTATAAAGTATGATTTATTACTAATTCTGACATCAGATTACAAAAAATATAAAATGCAAAATTATGGTTTTATAAAACTTAAATGAAGGTACTTTAAAAGGTAATGAAAAATAGAGTTAATGGGCAGAATTAAAAGTTAAGTTTATTTTGGAAAAAAAAATTGAAATCTATGCATAATTTTTTTCTTAATATTCATTTCTCATAAACTTTTTGAAGACTTCACATAGTTGGTTATATGGCTGAGAATTCTTTCTGTAGTTCCCTGATTTTTGTTACATAGGAAGAATCTCATTGTGCAGTCCCTCCTCATTTTTTTTCTGCTTTATCCCAGGCACTGATTATAGGAAGGGAGCTCAGTCTTCCTGAATCAGGCACTCATTCGCATCTCCTCACTCTTGCTCCTGTCAGTTTCTCTTCCAAAAACATCCTTGATGCAGATCAGCCGACTGTAGATATAAACTTTAGAGTGAGGCAGGTCTAAGTTTCAATCAAGTTGTTTTTTCATATTTGGAAAACTATGTCCTCTGAATTTCAGCTTCCTAACACAATGAGAATGGAATAGCGTCATGTATGGTGAACAGCAAACAGGCCCTGAGATAAAAGACAGCAGTCACGGACAGAGGTCATGGCTTTCTCTTCTCTTCTCTCTGTTCCCATCCAGATTTACTGATCCTTCAAGGCCCAACTCACTTTGTACTTCCTGCACAATATCATCTGTGACTTCCTCTGACCGAACGTAATGTATTCAATTTCTAAGAATCTTTTCTGTAGGACTCACCTATCATTAATTCACAGTTCCACGCATTAAGCAGATATACAGTCCTCCCGTATGCAAGGAAATATGTTACAATACTGCAGTATATGCCTGAAATCACAAATAGCACTCAGTTTGTATTCTGTATACTATGCTTTTCCCTTATATGTGCACATAAGGGGAAATTTAATTTATAAATCAGGCACAGTAAGACATTAACAACCATAAATAGAAAGCTATAAAATATACAATAAACATTATATGAATATGCTCTGTCTTGGAAATGTTAAAGTTAATATTTAAAAGTATATTTATTTGTTCATTTAAGAGAGTGATAGACAAAAAGAGAGACAGAGAAAGAGATTTTCCATCCATTTGTTCAGTCCCTAAATGCCTGCCATAGCCAAGGTCAGGCCAGGAGAAGCCAGGAGCCAGGAACTCCAACTGGAGCTCCCACCTGGGTGGCAGGGTCTCAACACTGGGTCATTATATGCCTTCCTAGGTGCATTACCATTATGCTGAGTCAGAAACAGTGTAGCCATGACTTGAAATGGACCTCTGACATGGGATACCAGTATTGTAAGCAGTGGCTTAACACACTGAGCCACAAGGCCAGCCCTACATGATATTTTCTCACCACGGTTGACTGCAAGTAGCTGAAACCAAGGAGAGTGAAACTGCAAATGAGAGAGTCTACTTTACATCGTAGGTCCCTAACAAGAATGAGAGTTCACCACCCACCTGTGGTTTCTACCTCTCTCATTTATTATAAGTCGTCAATCCATGGTTTGTGATGGACAGTTAGATCTTTTTGATGAGTTTTGAATGCTCAAGTAAATGTATCGGCCATTAACATAGAGTAACAAAAACTCGAGTCTGTGATCATGTCTCCTCTGGGTTCATCCAGAGCAGACTGAAAGCTCTCGGTGGTCTGTGTGTGGTACCAGAGACTCCATCTGGGTTGTCAAGGTAGAATGTCACCATCCTGAGAGACAAGAGTGCTCAAAAAACCCCAGAATGTTCCAGATTCTTTTCAGGCTGTTCAAGAGTGCTAAGAACCCCAAGTGGTGGGCACATTGATAAGTGAAGTGAATAGATGGTTCCTGCAGTTACAATTCAATCTCCCTCACATGCCTGTCAGTCCAAGTATATTACTTGGGAACAGAATTTCTGTGGGATGGAAGCAGACAAAGAGAGAGAGATGGGACAATGCAGTCAATGAGACCTCTCCAAGTTTTATTTCTATTTGTGTGTTCAGACTAACATTATTGGCATGCCACATTTAATGACCAAATCCCAAGGTTTTGGGTGAAAATGTAGCAAAATGGCCTAATTTTACTTGTGAGAAAACACCACTTGTATTACTCTCATATACTTGCTTATTTTCCAAGCAGTAAACCATATAAAGATATCTTGATACTTGATAATTTAAAATCAGACAGTAATGTATCTTTAATATAGAATTCTTCACAAAGTGCCTTTTGAGAACTTTTTCTTATTTAAGGAAAAAATAAATTATCATATTTATCTCTTCCCGATGGTATCCAGAATGTAATAGGAATAAATATGTAGCAAGGATTGTGTTGGGCTGTAGGTTGAGAACTGCTTTCTTAAAAACAATGAAATAAAAATGCACTAAACAATATGTGGACGAATTCCTTTGTATTACCTTGTCTCCATCAACAAAAATTTAATTGTTTGATCCCAACTACATTTTTAAAAAATAAATAAACCTTCAAATGAAGAGGAAAGCAAGCTTTCAGCAAAGTTTTGGTCATAAATACAAACAAGGTTTTGATACCAGAAAGTAATTATTGCTTTGTTCCTCTTTTGAACAGCAAGGGAGGGACCTTGTCTTGGCATTTTTTCACTCCGTTCTATTAACCTGCCAAAATTCACAGAATGTCATAACATCCATTATTTCTTTGTACCTGTAGCTACTGATGTCCCCTTTTGAGATCTTACATTGTGCTATCTCATATTTCTTCCTCCCTTTTCTTTATTTGCATGTCATAAGAATGCTGAATTTGCCAAACTTTCGGGTAAAGACTTTTATAAGCTTGCTGGGTGTTCTCTTCGAAGTGTTCTAGGGACCAATGGGCCCTGCAGATCATTCCAGAAGCCCTGATCCAGAGGTGCTACACAGAGGCACAGGTTCTCCATAAAAACACTTTTAGAAGTTGAGAGCCTAGGATGTTCCTGTAACTTTGGTTATTTTATCCTGATAATAAAAGCAGTATGTTACAAAGTATTTGAGAAGCAGGAAAAAAGCATAGAGTTCTTAATCTCACATGTAAATACCTTTAATATGTTAATTTTTTCTGTTATATATACATACACATATGTAAACAAAGGTAGATTTTTGTAGTCTTAATTATTTCAGCCTACATTAGAAAGAAAACATTTTGCTTTGTCACCAAATACTTTTTAAAATCATTTGAAGCTTCAAAAAGTTCTTGGAAAAGTGAAATTAAAGGGTAAGTTTAGAGTAAGCATTTACCCTAGCAGTTAAGAAACCAGTTAAGACAGCTGTGGACAATTTCACAGTGCTTAAGTTTAATGCCAGGTTCCAGCTTCTGACACAAGCTTCATGCTGGTGTGGACCCTGAGAGGAGGCAGTGATGGCTCCAGTGGTTGGCTTCTTACTGCTCATGTGAGAGACATGGGTTGGCATTTTTGGCTCCCAGTCTCTGCCTATCCTCAGTCAAACCGTTGCAGGCATTTTGGGAGTGGGCCAGCAATGAGGGAGCTCTCTGTATCTTTCCCTATCTCTCAAGTTATAAAAAAGAAGGTTAAGTTTATTTTGGTGCAAAATATTTTTAAATGTCTGCATATGAGTGGCTTTCAAAAGAGTCATGGGAAATGCTTATTATAAAAAAGTTATGCAAGGATCTGAAAAATTTTTGCACCAAAATATACTATATACTTATCTTTACTTCCATTCTTCATGAAGTTTTTCAAGCACTTTAATATATTCACTGCTTTAATAAATAATAATTTAAATTGATATTGGCTTTTTAGACTATTATGGATATTATGGAAAAAATCTATTTTTCACATTGGAAGATATGATTTTGTGTGATTCAGTTTGTTCTGATTACAGATATTCTCCCTAATGCCTGAGACACAATTAGAACTCTATTAAAATCAATGGCATTTAAAAGTTTAACAACACTTTTCAGTTAAGTATATTTAAGGGGAAACATGTTTATTCACACAAGATTATGACGAAATGTTGGAAATTGCTATCAGTTAACTACAGGACAGCCAAGAAGGGGCTCTCATTCTGTAAGAGCTGGTTCACAAACCTGAACTTGAACTTCTAGACTCCTGAGCAGCAGTCAACAGACTAAAACCTGAGGACAAAATCCAGCTCAGAATAATTTGGTAAGACATGTGAGCCACGTGGCTTTTACATGTGTGCATATTTGGGACAAAAAAAATCTTACAGATATTATTTTGTGACACATAAAATTATGCAAATTTCATACTTTGGCATCTGGAAGAAAGTTTGAGTGGAGCGTATTCAGCATTTATTTGTCCATATCACAACAGCAGAGTCAAGAAATGAGCAGCAAAGGGCAAAGCCCATCACAAATAGGATATTTATTACCTGGTCCAAGTGATTAGGTTCTATGTAAGGCAGCAGTAAAAAAGCTCTGTGCTCCTTGTATTTCAGCCCTCAATCCAAACGTCCTTCCTGGTTCCAGCAGGATTCCTTGTGCCCATTAGGGAAACCAGAAGGATTGTCCCTGTTTATTTGCTATCAGAGAGGCCTTTGAACTCCAGGAAAGCTGCCATCTTGTTTTTGCTCACTCCTCGTATGCTTAGTGTCTGCAGCATGAAACACTGGTAAGTTCTATAAACTTCTTGTTATCTTGAGACAGGGCAAGACCTTTCCCCAATTTATTTACTTTTGGAGGAGGAGGATGAAAGATTGGGTCCTAAGTGTTATTCAATGGCATGACATGGCTTTCCCTGGAAGGCAGCCAGAACTGATGCTTATGAGGTGTTTGTCTGATAAACTGTACCCCGGTGACACGAAGCAGAGCCCAGAGGAGGTGACAGTCCATCTTTCTAACTCAGGTTTGATTTACAAATCAGAAGAATGTGCGAAGACTGTTGAAGCCAGACCCACCCCTAGGACAGTCTAATCAGGAAATAATGACCTCTGCTTGTGAATAACTGTGTGGAAGGTGGCATGATTTGGACTCTTATTGAAGTATATTATAATATTGTCATGAACACAAAATAGAGCCCAGACAGCTACTAACTGTGATGTTTGCTTTACGAGCTGGACGTCTGGGAAATAATTATCAGCTGGTGTCTCTGGGTCACAGAGAACCCATCTAATTAAAGGAAGCCAAGTAGTGAATATGTGGAAACTTCCAACACAGCTCACACAAACAGAAAAAAAGAGTTGGGAAGAGAGAAAGAGGGTGTTAAGATGCCTCCAAAATTAATATCAGATTCAGAAAAATACGAGGAACCTAAATGTTTCTTTCAGAAATCTACACAGACCATGAGCTACTTCCTGCTACCCAGTTGCCCTCAACTTCAAGCTTAGAGCCAGACTGAAATTGTAGATGTTCTATATGATTTCAGAAGGCGCTAAGAGCAGATTTTAGTTCTGGCCGTGGAAATTCTGTAAGATTTCTGTAGAGTTCAGCAGAATGTTTGATAGCATTTAACAACAACAACAAAAAAAGAGTCAGTTATCTGAGGTAAATATAAAATATAATATATTTGTAAATGCATTATCTTATTTGTGTTATCACATTAAATATAAGTAATATTTTGAGTTTTTGCAATAAAAATATTGTATCTATGATAGAGCAGTTTGGAAATTCAGAAACTGAGTGAAACAAAAACAAACTCCACAGTCCTTCCATACAAAGACAACATTATCGGAGGCTTGTTTCCTTTAACTTTTTTCTGTGGTGTTGTTTCACAGTTGTTATTCTCAGAGTTCACTGTAAATTCATGCTTTTTCACTCCACTATAAAATATAATTTCTAGATAAGACTTTTATAGCTATCTAGAACCTACGAGATGGAGGGACAACTTTTCAAATTGGTTGGAAATTAAGAGTAAATCTAATTCCAAAACCTTAACATGTTTTCTCAAGTCATAAAGAAAGCAAGACTTTCGTACCTTTCTCTTTTGTCTCACTATTTCTTTTTTTGGCCATGATCATACAGTCTTGATGAAGACTAAACTTTAAAAACAAACAAATGAAAAAAAGAGGTAGAGGGTAGGGCTGAAAGAAAAATTAAAGGTCCAGGAAAAAAAGAGAAGAAAAGTCAGCGAACTGTGACACCTGGTCCTGGTGAGACCAGTGGCATTTGTGTAAATGAGTAGACATATCCTTAATCTAGGTTTCTCAAAGGCTATCATTTTGATACAGATTTCATTAAATCCATAATAAGCAGATTTGAAATTCAGAAAGGAAATATACACTCAGATCAGAATTCACTTTTTTAAAAAAAAGATTTATTTACTTATTTATTTGAAAGTTAGAGTTACAGAGAGACAGAGACAGAGACAGAGAAAGACAGAGAGATTGGCCATCTGCTGATGCTCTTCCCAGATGGCTGTAATGGCTAGGGCTGGGCTAAACCTAACCCAGGAACAGGGAGCTCCTACCATGTCTCCCATGTAGGTAGCATGTGCCCAAGCCTTTGGGTCACCTTCCACTGCTTTTCTGAGGCCATTAGCAGAGAGCTGGATCGGAAATGGAGCAGCCGGGACACGAACTAGTGCCCATATGGGATATTGCCATCAGAAGCAGAAGTTCCACCCGATATACCACAACACCAGCCCCCAAAATTCACTTTTAAAATACAAAAGTCTTTTATTTAGTTTTTCACTTAGCTTTCTATTTTGGTATCAACAAAAAGGATGTGATGATAAGTCCAACATAAGAATGAGAAAGAAGGCTGGGTTGAGTGAGGAGGCTTGGTTGAGAGGCGAAGACACAGGGTCCTTCCCAAGCCGGAGAGTCAGGTGCACAGCCTGGCTATGGGCACCTCAGAAGCAGTCTAGTACCAAAGTCCTCAGCTCTCATGACAGCAGGGAGCATTTCTTCATGAGGTTGGACCCTTTCCAATTTGTTACACCATCCGCCACAGGTTTTGCTGGAAGTCTTCTTTCCAAAGAAATCCATGTACCAGGCCAGTGTTCCTGCATGCTATGAAGATCCCAAATGATACTAGCTGTCTTCGTGGGAACTGGGTGAGCATGTGTAATCTGAGCTTTTTGGGTCTATCTCTTTGCTGTGACATTGTAACACTGAAGTGCAGATTTATAGCATGCTCTATGTATATTTTCTTAGTCTCAAGCCCCCACCCCCTTTCACAGATACATACACAACATGTCATGTAGAAAATATAAATTGTTGATCGTACAGGCACTTTCTTCCTTTTTAAACCTTTCCAAAGGTCTTTTTGTTAAATACACCCAGATGCCGTTTGACAGATGAGGGGCTAATTGCTCTGTGAATTACCTCTATCGATTCCTGTTTCATGTTGAGCCAAACAAACAAAAGATATTAATGCTTTGAAAAAAATGAATGATGACCTTTCTCTGCAAACACAGCTTGCGGTCTCTGATTATTGGTGATTCCAGAGAGCAGCGGTCAATCGCAATAGCTGTAACGCTATGATCACTATAATAAGCTTGCCTGACCTTCTCTGCCATGTTAAGTGGTTTAAATTTATTTGCCCAACAACAGAAGAGCTTTCATTTAAAGTCACAGAACATTCAATTCAATTTAAAGATGTAGTGTCTTCTTTCTTCTTCCTCCTTTCTTGTCTCTTGACCACTTCAGACATCCACATCCATGTTCAACACTAGATATACCAATATAAAATAACCATTGTATGTGCAAACTATGTTCCTTCAGTTGTGTTTAAGATTCTGGATGCCATTTTCTTTATTTATTTGTTCTTTTTTGGGTGGGGTACACTGAAAACATTCTGTTCTACATAATTTGACAAGCATAAAAAGTCAAGAATTCAAGAACTGTGGTGCTTAGCACCAGTGTGGGAACCAGCAGACCCAGTTCCATTTTGGTCTTTAATTAGTGGGATCTTGAGCCACCCATTTCTACACCCCCCAGCCCAACACCCAACCCAAGCAGTCCCTTCTAAGTTGGTAACTAGATAAAAGACTAGACTTGATGACCTACTTCAGAGCATTTTGTTTTTTACTGGGAGGTACTTATGTTCTAGATCTCTCCACTGAATTGTTTCATACAAGGGACAGAGCTGTAACTTGACAGCTGAGATAACATGGTGGTAAGGGCTGGAAGGTTTTCCTGACTTTTTCTCAACAAGGTTCTCTGATGGTGAAAATGTACAAAACACACATGTCTAAAATCTTGAATGGTTAGGAAGTATATGCAGCCTCCCCTTGCTGGTTTCAGTGGAAGTCTCTTGAGAAGGGGACTCCTGATACTTCCACAAATTCCTGGTAAGAGGCCAAAAATATCAAGGAAGTAGTTTCCCTTAGAATATTTTTGTCCCTGTGCTATAAGATTAAAGCAGGAAGTGAAGAGAAAAACACCACAAATAATCAAAAGACTTCCTGCCTTAGTCTGACATTCTCAAAGAGTTAGATTGCCATTTAGTAAGAAGCAGGCAATTTTATGGTGACTTTCTTTAAACATTGTCTATAGTTTTCACTCAAGACAGTGAACAATACTATTGACAGGCCATTCAATAATAATATTTTGCTTTGCTATGATAAATTACTCATGGAGTTTAAGGCAATGTGAGGCAACACTCCCTGCTTGTGTCAGATTCCTTGCTAGGCCCTCAATGTCTTCCCACACTCCTTTATTTCAAAATCCAACTTCAGGGTCTGGGAGCCCCTACACACTTAAAAAAATATTTATTTATTTATTTGAAAGAGTTACACAAAGAGAGAAGAGAGGCAGAGAAAGAGAGAGGTCTTCCATCTGCTGGTTCACTCCCTAGCTGGCTTCAATGGCCAGGATCCAGGAGCTCCCTCCAGATCTCCCACAGGGGTTCAGGGAACCAAGAACCTGCACCATCTTCCACTGCTTTCCCAGGCCATAGCAGAGAGCTGGATCAGAAGTGGAACAGCCAGGACTCAAACCGGCGCCCATATGGGATGCCAGCATTGCAGGCAGTAGCTTTACCCGCTATGCCACAGCGCTGGCCCCATCCTTACTCACTTCTCTTCTGAAAGGCCTTTTACAACACCCCATTATCAGACCCAATGCATGCTTTCACCTCAGCATCTCTTCTTTCTGACTCCACTTTTGTCTTTCCCTGTAAGTCTGCACTTGGTATTTCAGGATTTGCCACAAAATCTGGGGTTCAATAAGTGTGATACTGGAGTTTGAGAATGAATGAATGCACAAATCTTATTGTATCAGGTGATAACTACTAGACAACAAGCCATTCCAAAACGCAGCCATGCCTTTAGACAGCCATGCTTTTGTGACTCATGCACCTATTGGTCAGTTGGGACTCATTTGATGAGACTGGGACTGCACTGCTGGGAAGACTCTGTTCCTCCTGGGACAAACAGTCCCAGGCATGTTCTTCCCATGGCCACAGCAGAAGCACAAGGAATGCCACTCAAGGCCATGTTGTCATTTCCACACTATTGTACAAGCTACAGCAAGTCACATGGGCAAACCTATGTCAAGAGACAATCTAGTCATACCGTGAAATCATAAATAAGAGGGCATGGATATAAGAGACATGCGCAACTGGACACAGGAATGAAACCAAACTTGCAAGAAAGAAAATGCTGATGACCATATTAAGACAATAATAGAAAACTTCGTTACTATTAGAGCCATTTGACCAAACATCAATATTTTCTTCTTTATCCTCATATCACCCACATAACCCAGCAGCTAAAATAGTGCATGTGATCCACATATGTTTATCTAATAGGATTGGATCATAAATAATAGAGAAATAACAGTTGGAAGAATTCTTGGACTTATTTTTATGCTTCCTTTAAGGAAAATATGCATGGTGGGCAGATATGTTAGCAAGACAAAATGAAGAACTGAATGATAAATGTTTAATCCTTTAGGAATAAGGACATTTTTACTTTTATTTACATATATTACTGGGGAATGTGGTCTACAATTTGTGAGTCCCTAATAATAACTCGCAAAATGACCCTCTTCCGTCTTTGTGACTTCTCAGCTGACTCTTCGGCAAGCTTGGCGAAGGTTCAGGTGGGCATTGCTGCAGCTGCCCTGGACCAAGTTTCCACGCAGTCACAGAGTTGCCAAGGCTCCAGTTCTCTGGAGCAGATTTACCGGAAGAGGTTAGTTAACCGAAAACCAAAAAAGCCCTGGCAGTAATCAAGCCCTGTGCATTCCTGGCCCCCTTCCCTGGAGTCCCAGTGGGGCCCCTCAGCTGGGCCAACCCCACACCATGCACACTGGATTGGTGGTCCTCTTATCACAGAAAATTCCACCAATGCAGCCAAAACATACAGAAGGAAGCACACAAGAAAAAATGTGAATATAATAAGCAGGGCTCTGGATTGAATTTTGTGAAAAGAAAAAAATTATTTTTTCTTAGTTCTTTTTCATCGTTTGTGTGACAAGAAATAATGGGACAAATAGTTTATCACATGTGAATAGTTTTACTATTTTTAGTGACAAATTAGGCTCTAAAAGAGCAACTTTCAAGTCTCTGTTCTTATTTTTTGTCTGAGAATCGTTTTAAATTTGATCATAAATCGAAATTTGCATTTTCACATTTTGCTTTTTATTTCACATGTTAAATTTGTATGTAATAAAGATACATAAATCCAAGAATTCATAAAACTTCTTTCTTACTTGATCTTAACTTGTAACAAAGTTTCAGAAACAAACTGTCCTTTTACCAGGACATATAAGTTCCTTGAGGCAACAAGAAGTTGTTGTTTGCTTTAAATTCCCCCAGCATTTCAGAATCGACTACTTTCCGTATCTGAAAATCTAAGTAAAACATGATGATGTGCTCTTCTTTTTCCCCAAACTTGCTTCTATAACAGGAGCATCAGCTTACATGGACCCACGCCGGCATTTTGGTTTCTGCACATTTCCCTGTGCTTATAGTACCTGTCTACTTTATGAAGAGGGAGAGAAAGAGAGCGAGAGGAGAGAGAGAGTGAGAGAGGAGAGAAAGAGAGAGACTAAAATCAGTAATGCACAAATATTGAAGGTGTCTCCTATTTCTATTTGAACAACAAAATTGTGACACAATTCTCATGACTGGTGGTGAATTCCTAGACCTGGAAAATGCAGACCTTTGTGACAAATGTAACCTGTTTGTAGCCTGCAAAACATTAGAAGTTAATTTGTTGATGGGGAATTGACATGGTCCCAAGTCCTCAATTATTCTTTTCTGTTCTATCATACTATTCTTCAGCATTGTCAGAAAACCGGAGGTGGGGTAGGGAAGAAGGAACTGATAGAGATGGGAAACCAGGCTGTTTTACAAATATTCACAGCTGCAGCTCCCTGTAACCACGCTCCTTTTTCCAGTACACTCTAAAAAGACAAATTCATAGGAGTTATTTTGCCTTAAAAGGCATCATCTCTTAAGTCCAGTTTCCCGAAGACCTCAGAAACTGAAGTACCACAGCATTCCCTAAGGTCCAGCACACAAACATTAGCTCCCCTCCCACATCCCTATCCCTAGGAAAATAAGAAAAGAGTCTTCCCACTCGCTAAAATAATTAAAAACATTCTCAGAATAGAACTTGGAATGTTTAGTGTTTCAATAGGAGTCTATTTTCAGGAAAATCAGTGTGTTGCATACCTACACTTTGATATTACAACGGTGAAATGATCCTATTTGGGACATAATTACACATGAAAATAAATCATGCCCAAGGCTGGTTGTGTTTTCTGATGTTGTTCACATTATCTGTTTGATTTGTTGACTATCTTCAGGGGAGAATCCAGGAAAGCCCCAATGTCCCCATCCGCACGCAGTCATTGGTGATCTCCACACTGGAACCTTGCGTTTTAAATCCTGCTAGGTAAATTACCTTTCCAGTGCAAGGTATTTCCTTTTAGGAGATTCCTTGGGAAGAGCCTCCAGGGAGTTGACTAACTTTGTAACGCTTCTCTCAGATCAAGAGGCAGGAAATGTGAACTCCTCTGGGGAGAGGCCCCACTCCAGGCCGTCTGCATCCTGTAATTCTTCCCGAGTCTGTGAATCATACCTTGAAGACTCCTTTTCAAG